CCAATGTGATTCGTGTGCTTATATGATTACCTTGAATGTGATTTGGAACGCTTTCCTAAATCTCATTCATACTTTGGCCAAAGATTCTTAATCATATCATAGAGTATTCTCCCTCAAACGGTTTGAAGGTTAGAGATCTCTTGTTGCGCATTCATATGCCTATATGACTAGATAACTTGACTCCAACAATGCCGTGGACACTCCAATGGAATGCCGTTTGACATGATCAAAGATCAAGGACCTAACCATTAGACATCTATGATGCCTCAGGTCAAGGACTACTTTGCATTATCCCAACCATGAGTTCTCATGTGACATGAATATGAGAACTCTTCGTTGATCGTGTTCAGTGAACTCATTCTCTATTGAGCACCTACGTACTTGTCTTGATGTCACACACACCAATGACTCGAGACTAGTCACTCTCCCTGAGAGAAGACACAGTACGTACTGATCTTAACGGATTGTCAATGCCCAATTGGCAATCCTATGATCAGGAACATTTAGGATGTGTCTACAAAAGAATTGTCTCATGAATCTAACTTCTTTAGATCGTATTCTCCCAATCACATATTCCTTGGACTTATTGTTTAAGCATATAACATTTATATGAGACGGCTTAAAACAATAATCTATGCCCTTGATATTAAACTAGATTAGTTTAACATGTGAAATGTCCGTAAAGTATCATCATATGATTGGTTTTAGGGCACATTTCCAACAATGTTTTGGTGTTCATATACACATTATATGTGGAATTGTTGAGATTGTTTATGGAGCATGAGAACTTTAGTATTTTGGTTATTCGAGGGATAAATATATGGCACAAGAGGACTTTAAGGCATAAATGCTAATTCAGGGATCACGTGGTAAGCTACATATTATGAAGAATGACCAACATGTGAAGGGATGATGTAATATGGCATATATGTGATGAAAACTTGTGTATAATTATACTTTGGTATATTGTGAGTAAAACAACACGCTTGATTGGCGTATTACATATTCTACTCACTGGGCGATGGTGATTGTTGCTCACCCCTCCCCCTTTTATTTTACAAATGAGTTATTTGGCAACAGAGTTGCCAGAGGGAACTGAGGTGGTGTTAGATGAGGATTCAAGGATTTATTTATTTCTCCAAAGTTTGTAAGATTTTGGAGTTTTTTTTTTTAATTTTTTTTTTAAGAGAAGTTTGTTTTGCCTTCAGTCTTTTTGTTTAGTTTAGTTTTTAGCTTGCGCACTGGGAGTAGAGTTATATTTTTCCATCGACCTCGGGTTCAGGACGTGACACTTAGCTAGTTTATAACGAGGCAACTTATCATTGATATATAGACATCCAAGGGGGAGTGTTGTGAAACATGAATAATGGTTGTCCTAATCTAATGTATGGTAGTAAACCATCATAAACAATTATATTAATGTAGAGAGGTTTTTTGATTACTACAAAGAATCTTAGGATGACCACTCATGTATTTGATGCCTCATATAAAGATGGCATAATGACAGTGAAAGATACTTGGGTTATTCTCTCTTTTCTTTTGTATTTTCTCTACTTTATCTCTTAGAGTAGGGGATTCTAAAAACATTTACTTTATAATTGCAATATTTCATGAGAAAAAAAACTGTAGGTTTTCGTTGTTTTGCACTATTGATTGATTTCCATTGGAAAACTCAAAAGGAATAGGAAAACTTGAAGATTGAAACCTTAACCTAAAGAGAGAGTGAGGGGGAGGGCAAGCATATGAAAGAGAATGTGGTCTGAAAAGGGAGGATGTGGTAGACAATTTCCTTCATCTTCAGTCTTGACAAAAAAGTATCTACCAAACAATCAACACCTTTGATTGAAGATCAAAGTCTCACGCGCCCACGAGGAGCGTGGGGGAGGAAGGGATGTTTGATGCCTAAGTCAGTAACTCTAAATAGAGCGAATCTTTAGGGTTTTTTGTACAACGAAAAGCTTACCAAAATTTGGTGGAGATGAGGGTATAAATGGAGGGAGGTGGCTGAATATGGGGATAGCGTTTTGCCCTACACATGGCGGCTTCCTATTAGCCAAGTTATGTCATCCATAGGGTAGTCATTCTTTATCTATAATACCTTTGAATTTTTCACATGAGTAGGGGAGCTGCGAGCAGTCGTAGTCAAGTACTTGAATTTCCAAGGATGCTGAGTTGCGCATGGGGACGCTTGAGAGCCCTGCCCATTTAATGAGGGTAATCTCGTCTTTCTTGAATAAAAGTTTACGTGTCACCTTGTGGATTTTTGGGATTATTTTTTGCTCCAAAAATGCCCTTACACCTGCTAGGTTGCTTGCAACAAAGGCAGTAAGTGTAGAAATCCCAAGTTGCTTAGGTAAGTAAAGAGTTGTTTTCTAATTTGATGCACATCTTCTACTTTGACTTGGAGATAAATTTTTCTAGGAAAGGGAATCAATTGCTACGAAAACCTATTTAAGTCTGCCTTAAGCAGGGAGTTAAATAATTTTGGAGAGAAATTTTTAAAATTATAAGAAGAGAGAGAGTCAGAGAAAATTTATTCCCCCTCCCCTAGCCTTCTTCCTTGCTTGCCCTCGTAAAGAATCGTTTCTTGTTCCTTTTCTTCTTTTCCATGCCGCACCAAGGTAAGAAAAAAAATTTAATTCTTCTTCTTTTTAATTTTATGGAACTTCGAGCTTGAAAATTGGCTAGGCGTTAGCCGAGAATGGGGATAAAGTAACCATGAGGCAATTGTGCTATTGCTATTGCTGTAGGTTGGACGGCTTAGCAAAGAGCCGAGAAGTGGCATGGCACGATTGGTTGGGGCCAGGTGTCGGCTTGGCTTAGGCCAAAGGGCATTGGGGCGCAATGGGGGAAAGCTAGTGTAGGTTTGGCTTTCCGCCAATTGGTTGCTAGGCTTGGGCTTGTGCAGGAATGAGAGAGAATGAGGGAAGCACATGGGCACCAACCCCCTTCTGTTTTACTTGGGCTGTTAGCCCTTTTGGATTGAAAGGGAGAGAGATAACACCCTGGGCGCTGGGCTGCCTGGTGTGCTGGGCCTTCTAGTGGGTTGGGCCCCCTAACGTGTTGGGTTGCTCCATAGGGTAGCCAGTTGGTTGCGGCCTGGCGTGCTGCTCCACATATATATTTTTTTATTTCTTGGGCATGCATTAGATATCTTTTTCTCATATTTTTGTAGGAATTTCTGAACATGTCTCCTTCAAGCCACAAAGGTGAAGAATACCTTCTGCCATTGTATCATCAGGGAGGATCTTCTGGTAAGGTAGGTTACTTCAGGGCTGCTCACATCAAGATCACTTTCGACGAGCGGTTCAAAGACTTTCTGGAGGTGTACAAGCATGTGATTCCGTCTGAAGTTCGCATAAGACGTGCAAAAGAAGAGAGCAACCATAAACCATGCAGTGGGATTGCTAAGAGAGTCATCTGCTAGAGTTTGAATATAAAATGTGGGGTATTGTTAGAACTTGTGTGGGACTTTTGTCCCACATTGCCCATACACTTTGTTTACTTCCCCTTTATAAGTGAGTTCACTCACTTATTGTTTGCAAGGAATTGGGCCAAAGCCATGGACTTGGAAGGTTTGGGTGTATATATTAAATGTCAAAGATGGGCCTTGGGTCTCTTGGGTTCAAATGGACGAAAAACACAAGTACAATTTTTACGTTTTTGATTTTAGGATTCACTTTTTTCTGAAAGGATAAGATTGTTTACATAAATAATTACATCCGTTCTGGAAAAATAAGAATGAATGGCCATAACTGTTCAAAAACGCCATTATATATATGACAGTTATATCACAAACGTAAATACAATTCAATCGCCCTCTCTTTTTGATCTTTCACAGAGAAACACATAGTAAATTCGCCAAGAATCCAAGTTCGAGTGCAAGAACTTGGGTTAGATAGTTGTATCCTGCAAGATAGACGTCTGTTGAATTACTGCACTGGTGTAGGGGTGAATTTTTGTCTTAGGAGATTGCTACTGCAAGCCTCTATCTTCCATAAACAAGTTAGTGATTTGTGATTTTATATGCAATTTTATTAATTGTTCATATTCTGGTATATTGTATATATAGTGAAATTGTAATTTGAAATAAATTGTGAATTTATTATATATTGTATAATTGACATTTGATTGGTTCTCACATCATCAAGTTCCATCCTTACTACTTTGTGTTGCCTAGTGTTCTCTAAATGCGATCCGCATGATGGTTGGGGAGTAAGTTCTTTGACTTGGACCTAACTATCAATGAGTTCTAGTACTTCTTCAACATAGGTTATATTGACGGAGTTGGGCAGCTGAGAACTCGCCATAGGCTTTTTGATCTCTTAAGCAAAAGGGATCACGATTGGGCCAAGACACCTTGGAGATCAGCGGAAGGTGTGAATTTGACTCTTCACTTGAACTACGTGTTCCGACTACCCTTATTGATTGTAAGTGATTTGTTTAGTCTTTGGGCAAGCTTTTGTTGAGCTGCACATGGGGATGCTTCAGAGCCCTGCCCATGTAATGAGGGCAATCTTGTTTTCCTAGAATAAAAGCTTATGTGTTGCCTTGTGAATTTTTGTGATTATTTTTTGCTCCACAAAGAAGATCTAGAATTTTGAAGAGAGGGGAGAGGAGATTTGAAATTTTGAACAGTTAATGAAGTCGTTGAAGTGAGCAATTATACAATAAGAATTTAGACATTTTACATAAAAAATAATAAAGAACAACAATTTTTTAGGGAATGGATCATTCTAGCAACCAAATTGTAAAGAATGGATCAAAACAGCCAAATTTCCAAGAAAAAATCTATGAAGGAAAAGTAGTTTGTGAAATTGATTTGTTCCAAGTTGTTTTTTGGGTTGACAGCCAAAAAAGATCGAGAAAGACCGAAGAGAGTGGCGGGTAAGATAAGCTAGAATGAATCGTCAAAAGCGATTCGGTGGGAAGGACACGTGTGAGCACTGTGGTGACTGCCGACGCATATACAATTCTTCGCCACTCCGCGGCACTCAAGAGTCAAGTCTTCGCTCGCTCACAATGAATAAAGTGAACAAAAAGCAAAGAGCTGACTAATTAGCAAACTCTCTCCTCTCCCTCTCTCTCTCTCTCTAGGGTTTTCGCTGTTCCCATAATCCCAATTTAAACTTCATCCCTGCAATCAAGGATCGATTTTTTGGCTGTATAATTTCAAGGCTTTGCAATTTTCATGGAGGTAATTAACTACTTTTGTGATTTGACTGTTTTGGTTGTCCATCAAATGATTAAATTGGTTTCCATTGGTAAGAAAATATGACAAGCTCATGAATTGTAATATTCCCTCTTAAATTAGGTGTTAAACACTGTTTAATTGACCCTTGATTCTTCTGATTGTTCGTTTTCATATGTTTTAGTGTACTTCAATGCTTTATTTCTGAATTCAAGGGGAAGAAAGGAGTAATTTGTTATTTATTTGTAATTTTGAGAGCTCTTAATTTGATTTTATGAATTTTTGATCTGATTATCTTGGTGGGTTAAATTATTTGTGCTTCTTAGTGTTGGCCTTTCAGTGCTGAAGTTGTTCCCTTTGTTGTAAATACAATGTAAGATAATATACTTTGTATTGGTTTGATTAAGGATATACTTTTAAACTCCATTGTTCTTGATTGCGTTAGTACTTCACCTTCATTATTTATGCTTCTATGTCCCCGTGGAAGAAGTTCCGTGAATTTTACAAATCGTATTTGCTAAGCTTACAGCGTTGCTTTACAGGTTCCGGGAATAGAAGAGACCAACAAATCCGATGCCCATTTGACATCAGCAGCAGCTTTTGTGGAGGGAGGAATCCAGGAAGCCTGTGATGATGCTTGCAGTATATGCCTAGAGGCCTTCTGTGAAAATGATCCTTCTACGGTATATATAAAATGGTTGAGACACTATTATCTTTTCTTATCTGGTTTCCGTTTTAATCAATTCTCGTTTTCTGTATGCAGTTGACGGGTTGCAAGCATGAATTTCATCTTCAGTGCATTCTTGAGTGGTATTTTTCTGATACCCATTTCTTAGTATTTAAAGTTCTTTTTCCGTTTATAATTCTTTTGTTGTTGATATTATAGTTAGATTTTCTTGTTCTTGTTCATGAAATGCCTATGAATGGTAGCACAGGATTATAAGGTAGCCAAATAATGTGACTGTGGAAATAGTTCGTTGTTGGAATTAAAGATTAGATCTAGGCATTTGTGTCAGAATCCCTGTTCTGGTTCCACATCTTACTTCTAGGGAATGCTGTGTGCATTGTGAATTGTGAATTGTGATTTTATAGTTGGCATAACTACTCCACGCTAAGAAATTGATATTTACTTGTTGGTCAGTTGTGAACTCATGGAAATTGATTAACAGGTAAATTCTAGTTGTTAAAGCCTTCAGGGATACTTCAAATGAAATCTCTTCACATGACATCAAATTTCTACTTTTTGTAATGATGGTCAACCTAGTTATACCTTTGACTTTTGTACTACCAACAGCATGCCTTAACAACTTGTACAATAATGATTAAGGCATATTAATTTGAGCCGAATAATTCATATCCTATCTTCTATTATCTTTATGTTTGCAATAATAGTTTTAATGAGCTTTCTTTGACATCTTGAGGTTTGTCTCCTTTCTCACACATGATTCATGAACTTTCATTTTGCCCGTGAATAAATACACCTTTCTTTTAGTTATTATGGTTATCAAGAATCCAAGATAGATATGATGGTGCCAGAAGCTTGTTTCTACGCAGTTACCTATTAACTTAAGAGGAATGCTAGCATCAATTGCTGCAACACCCTTTTGCCAATTGTCATGTGGCTTTCCTTTTAATTTTTATATGTTAATTTAACTTACAGATTTATGAACCATGTTTGTCTTACTTATTTACTCAATTGCCATTCACTCTCCCTCCATTTGTAGCTTTTTACATCCTGTCTCCCCCCTCTTATCCTAAACCTAGAAATCATTTCTGTATTTCTTTCTGATTCCATATAAAACCATATATTCAGAGCTTGAAATTTCAAATAAAAGCAATGGACTGCAGTCACTTAAAAGAAGGAAAATTAATAGAAGGAACGCTCAGTCAATTACACATAATTATATTTAAAAAAAAAATAGAGGGAATGATCAAGGAGAAGGTAAACAAGAGACAAAACGAAAAAAACAAGGCGGTGAAAAACCAATTTTATTTCAGCCAACAGAACCTTAAAGAAAACAAAACTACATAAAAAATGTAATGGCATTTTTAATTTCTTGGTGGAGAATATGTTATGACTCTCCTGCAAACCCAAGATTTCAATTTCGTTTTTATTAGACTTAGAAATCTACGAATTTCGTTTGAACAATGATGACTAATTGGAGGAGGGGCAGTGACTAGGTTGGAAGGTGCAGCAAATGGTTGGGACTGTCGGGTTGGGTCGGAGAAACCAGTGGAAGGCAAGTGAGTTAAGTAGGGAAAACATGGTTCTTAAATATGTGAGTTAAATTAATATTAAACAAAAAATTTAAAGGACACCACGTATCAAATGGGCAAGGAGCGATTGCAATTACCTTAGCAGTCAAAACGGTCTATGAAAGATTTTGCAACAGTGATTTTATGTTGAGCGGAGCCTTATTTTAAAAAGATACATCTATGAATTTTGAAAGTTCTCAAAAATTGAAATTTTGTTTCAATCTTGTAGGTGTCAGCGAAGCTCCCAATGTCCTATGTGTTGGCAACCCATCAGCTTGAAGGATCCCACTGGGTTAGTAGTTTTTTTCTTGGTCCTGGTATTCCTTTGATTCATCTCTCATACAAGTATTACAAAATGATAAGAGCTTCATTTTGTGTATTTACAGCCAAGAACTGCTAGAGGCAGTAGTGCAAGAGAGAAGTATTAGGTCTAATCCACCTCGAAATACCACAATATTTCATCATCCAACTCTTGGTGATTTTGAATTGCAGCATGTTTGTATTCTATCTTTGCTCTTTAACGTTATTAAGTTAAATGTAGTATAAACCCACCAAAACTGAAGATTCTTATTAAAAGTTTTTCAATTTTGCTCCTGATGTAGTTACCTATGGGTGTAAATGATGCTGAACTTGAAGAGCGTATAATTCAGCACTTAGCTGCTGCTGCTGCAATGGGTCGTTCACGCCACATTGCCAGAAGGGAAGGACAAAGAAATAGGTCATCAGCTCAAGGTCGCCCGCAATACCTGGTCTTCTCTACCCATCCTAACACACCTCCGGCTCCTGTTTCATCTTCCCCTGATCAGATGGAAGAAGGTGAACCGGCTCCTTCAGTTGCAGTAACTTTCCCTTCGCCTCCTACAAATATAGGGGAAGAATCGTCTCAAATGGCCACTCCTGTACATTCATCACAATCTGGTCCTATGGCTGCCTCAGTGTCTGGATCTAGTGTTTCTTCTCCAAATCAACAAGGATCTTCCATGAGCAATAGGTACTAGATTCTTCAGCTTGATTAGATATATGTTGGTGCGCAAATTCACATCTTTTTTTCTTTTTTTTCTCTCCGTTGTTGATTTATTACTATCTTATTATCATTTTCCTTTAGGAGGTCACCTAGCCAGTCATCCCCAAGTACCCAAGATAGAGCTGGCCCATCAGACATGCAATCATTTTCAGACTCTCTGAAAGCTCGATTTAGTGCAGTATCAACGAGGTATAAATATGCTTTAACCTTTGTAATTTATTCTACCATTTCTGAATGAGTTTTATTTTCCTATTTTCTCGTTGCATAAACATCACACGTTCTCATTTTCAATTAGATACAAAGAGTCAATATCAAAAAGCACAAAAGGTTGGAAGGAGAGATTGTTCTCTCGCAATACTTCCATGGCAGATCTTGGTTCGGAAGTTAAAAGAGAGGTTAATGCAGGGTTTGAAACTGTATCACGCATGATGGAGCGTCTGGAAACAAAAGACAATAACAGAGTTAATGATGCTTCTGTGTCAAATAGTTTAGACAGTCCGGTTTCTGGATCAGACAATCGACAGATATCTGAAAGTGGTGGTGAAATTTTTTTAAATGACCACAATAAACCAGCTGCTTGTGCTACAGGTTCTACTTCAAATTAGGCATTTTTCAGCAATTGCATTAACTCAAAGAAGTTCCTTATATAAGGTAAGTTGTGTATTGAATTTTTTTATGCATTTTAGAACTCAGTATGTGATTTTTGTATTTTCCTTTTCTCTGAATCCACTTGGATTTTTCCTGTAATTTTTTTTTCTTTCTATTTAGTTTACTTTTCTCTTGTCTTTTGGGTCTCCATGTTTTTTGCATGAGTCCTGTGTCTTTTTCTCAAGTTGGTTAATGTATTTATTGCCTTTCTTGATGAAATATATTGGTATTTGATTAGTGTGTTGTCTTTTTTTTTTTTCTTTTTTTTCCCCTCAAGTTGGTTAATGTGTTTATTGCTATTCTTGATGAAATATATTGGTATTTGATTAGTATGTTGTCTTTGTTTCTTTTTCTCAAGTTGGTTAATGTGTTTATTGCTCTTTTTGATGAAATATATTGGTATTTGATTAGTGTGTTGTCTTGGTTTCTTTTCTCTGTATTGTGGCTTCATATTTTAACATTTTGGTAGAGCGGAAGAATAAGCATGGATTTCTGTGGGAGTTCAAGATTTATGCATGAGGGAGGTGAAAGCTAGTTTTAAAATCTTATTCTATACTTGCCTTTTTGTGTGTACTGTTTCCCTTGGCAGTAGCTGCTTTAATGATGCTCCTGCAAATAGGAGCATTTTCTCTTCAAGTATCTTGGTAGGAACAAGTATTCTTCACTGGAAGCTCTCTTAGCTGAATGTAGAACTTTATTGTTTGCATCTCGAGCTGAGGAATTTTATGTGTCTTAAGGTCAGAGGTTGTTCATTGTTAATGTAGCTGTGCATATGTGCATATGTGTATGAAAGTTGAAACATGGCTGCTGTTAAGTTAGATATCCTACATTAGTAATATGCCTTTGAATAAGGTTGCAGCAGCTACTATGAATAGTTGTATTGATCTATGAGGTAGCCTGGTTCAGTAACGTAATTAGTCAAACAACAATCCTTATGGGCCTTGTATTTGTACTGAAACCATGCTTTTGTTGTTGATCAGTTCATCCAAAAGTATGGTTGATAAAAACCAGCTCCACAACTCACTTAGCTCAGCTCCGTACTGGTCACATATCTTTACCATTTATGTGTGTTTGCTTTTCTCCTTACTCTGTTTTTCTCTTTCACAATCTATTCTTTTCTGTCAAAATGTGTATCATCAGGTCGTCACTTATCAGTCTAATCTATAACTCTTGTGCCTCGTAACTCTAGAAAAGGAAATGCCAAAATCCACTACCACCAAATCCGCGACATATCTTTCAGTCTGGTCCCAATCTCCTCTCTATCTAGAAAGCACAAACTCTCGCCCTACCTGTTCATGGACTCAAAATTGTCTGAGTCACTGCTGCATATTTGGATTCTGGGTGTCGTGAAATTTGCAGGACATGTATCTGAGTTGATCTTTCTTCCTCAATATTTATATCAGGAAATGGACTACCATTGATGAAATCAAATACCATGTTATCCCAAACCCTCAGCTGGATAGCCATGGGCGAGTGGCATTTGACCCAAAATTCAAGTCCTCTCACCCTTTGTTTGGAGGAGGGGCCAAAAAGATTTAGTCTCAATTCTTAAAAAATGCACTCATGAGCTCCACCAATGAACTACTGGAGCACCACATAGGTACTAATAAAACACCTGAGGGGTATGATCGGGCAAGGCACTTCCAAGTTCCAAGGGATATAGGCAGAATGAGGAAGAAATTGATCACAAAAAATTAAATAGGAGTTAAAAATGCACCACATCAGCATTAGTCATTTGCAAATCCCTGTCACATGCCTTTGTAGTGATCATGTCGATGCATTTCTAATCCCTCCTATTTAACTTTTTGTGATCCATGTCTTCATCACTTTGTCTAAGGTCATTGGAATTTGGAAGTTCCTCACCCAAACATACCCTAAATGCACTATAAAAATACTAAGATTGGGACTTACAAAAATACACCTTGCAAGGAGTCATTTCATAGTTCTCTCAAATGAATTGCACCTAATTATTATCAAGTCCTGCTCTCTAATTTTGTAACAATTTAAACCTAAGTTCCATGTAACTTTGAAGTCTCTAATCCAAACATAGCATTAGGGACAAGGTCCTCAAGGTCAGTAATAACTCCTCGAGTGTGGCAACAATGGCCTTGGATACAGGGCTCCTTGGCCACTTCTTTGTGGGTGTGTTAGGGTTTCGTGTGAACTGAGGTGCAAAGAAAACTATAAAAATACCAAGATTGGGACTTACAAAAATACACCTTGCAAGGAGTCATTTCATAGTTCTCTCAAATGAATTGCACCTAATTATTATCAAGTCCTGCTCTCTAATTTTGTAACAATTTAAACCTAAGTTCCATGTAACTTTGAAGTCTCTAATCCAAACATAGCATTAGGGACAAGGTCCTCAAGGTCAGTAATAACTCCTCGAGTGTGGCAACAATGGCCTTGGATACAGGGCTCCTTGGCCACTTCTTTGTGGGTGTGTTAGGGTTTCGTGTGATCTGAGGTGCAAAGAAAAGATGAAGAGGTGGGCAACAGGCCCAAAGGGGAAAGTAGAGTGTAAAAAGAGAGGTGAATGGGGTTGAGGTAGTGGGGATGAAGCTAGCCCTTTTGGGTCATTAGTCAAGGGACAATTGGCTATTCCTGGAGTCTCTCATTACTATGGTCAACTGGTATATAGCTTCAGGGTGCGAAGTGCTTGCCTTTCTGTTTGGTTTGTTTGTCTATCTACCTATCTAGTGGGCGTGTCATCTATAGGAGTTGAAGGCATGCGATTAAAAATGTTAATGGAGGTTTCGGAAAGTGTTATGTTGTGGAATCATAATATAACAATTTCACGTCTGAAGGCTAAGTTGCCTGCATTGTTGTGGAAAGCAGCAAACATCAAGAGTTTGAAATGCAGTGCAGGATTCAAAGGATGTGTGGGGAGAATATATGTGTAAGTTAGTGAGCAGGAAGTTGAATTGATTGTCATGCCATGATTTAGACTTTAGTTGATTGCAAACTTAATCAAGCAACCGGGAATGGTAAAAAATGAACGAAAGAACTTGTTGCAAAATTCTCAGCTGTCTGTGCCGTCCCTTACTGAAGAGTGAAGATTTCATAGTTTTGTTTATTGGCATTTTACTCTGTATATTTGAGTTCATTACTCTTGCCATCTTTGTTTACCTATTTATTAGAGTTTCTTCTGTAGTCTCATCTGCTTAAGATTTGATTTGCTTGGAAAATTGCTCGTTTAAATGCAGGTGGAATCTCCCCTCTGAACTACCAGAGCCCTGTGGATACGATGCTTTTGCCATCGTCTTCCAGTGGAGGATAGTCTGTCTACGTTTGGAAAGAGCATTGCTGATTCAGATATGATTCAGAATAAAGAAACTATAGAATGTATGCTCAACTTTTTAAACCTGAACACCATTATCCGCTTTTAAATTGGTTATCTTATAACTTATTTGTGAATATATACTTCCGCCGCACATGTTAGGTATCTTTGAACCGTACATACGTGTAGACAATTAACTTTTATATGGATATACAGTAATTTCCTACGTGTTCTAGGTCCTTTGAATATTTTTCTTTCTTTTGCCAAACTATGTTAGGACTCAGAACTTAATGCTGTTATGGTACTATACACAACAGCATCAAATTGTCGAAATGTCTATTATCATTGTTGAACTAAATAGTATACCTTAGGATGATGTATGTAATTCTATTGTGATTGTCATGTTGTATCTTCTTTTTTCCTTATATGACATGCAAGGTTCTAAAAGACGTTAGGTCCTAGTTGGGCGGCGGCTGTGGTCTACCGCCTAGGTGGCTAGGCAGAGTCAAGCGGATTTAAGTAAATTTGTTATATATCCTATACATATTTATAATTAAAACAGAAATAAACATATCCAGTAATAAACATATCCAGTAAATATTTGTTTATTTAGGCTCAAAGTGAGTTGCTTATTTGAATCACATATCCAATAAATATTTGTTTGAGTTAGTGTAGTCTCCATGATGAAACTTGTATGATTCCCAACCCAATAAACACATATTTAGAAAATGTAACAGCTTGTCTATAAGGGTTCCCTAACCGACAAAAAAAAGATCAAAGAACATGTTTCATCTCGTTCCATATTAAAGATTCAACACTAGATGATAATGATAGTCTAGTAACCTAGTTGAACTAATTAAAAGTTTAAAATATAACATTTATTTATTAATTTTATTATATGATGCGGTTTCGGTTTTGGTGCGGTTTTAAAAACCTAAAACTGAAACCAAACCGTTTTCTTTGCCGCGATTCAGTTTCGAAACCGAAACCGTTTCAAAATCGCAAAACCAAACCATTCGGTGCGGTTCGATTTGATTCGTGTTTCGGTTTCGGTTTTCGGTTCCAAGTGGCTACCCCTGCTGGAATGTTCGTGCATTTTTTAAACTTTGTCTTTGTACTCATGTCAATATTGCAGGCTGCACATTATGGTACTATTGGTTTGCTAGCTGGACTTGTTAAATAAGTGGGCATGTTGGCCCATATACTTTTACTATTCCTAATTATGCTAGGTGGCTAAATAATTTACTTTATAGCCCAAACACACACACATACAACCCACTTAGTTTCTCTCTCTTTTCTAGAGTATCTCACTCTCTAGTTTACTCGTCAATTTCTCATCTCTACACTCTTTCTTTATTTGTCTTTCCCATCGTTGGGGCCCACAAATGTCCCTTAATAAACTTATGTGCTTACTTTATTCTTGGGCCTGCTCATGTTTCTGTTTTTACACCCCTCTAAGTGTTATTGGTGGTGCTCTTGTTGCAATGAGGATTATAAGCAATCATTAAATAACACATTGGACAACATAGGAAGTAAATTTCCTTTCTGTATAAATGTCCATCCTTCTAGGATAGAAATATTCTTTACTTTATGCTGCATTCGTACTTATGCTTGCTTTGACATTATGTTTTGTAATAAGGGTTCTAAAATGCACACTGCAGAATCTCATTTCAATTACTTTTTGAATTTATTCATAGTTCTCCACAAAACCTTCGCTTTATGACTTCGTCACCTTTCAGGTTTCTGCTAGCATGTCTTGATTCTAATATCCACATGGACATTCTAGGTCAGGGTGAGCACATGTTTAGGTAGTCCTACACTAATCACACACATGATGTTAAGCGCTAGTCGTTCTTGATCTCTAATGTCAAAACTATGCCACCTTGTCGAGCACGAACCACACCATCTTTTCTTGATTTTCGGCAATTCAAAACAATTATCACAACGTTATCGAGAAGGCTTTTCGCCCTTCTCAAAAGAATTCATTGGAAATCGCCACTTGTCTTCAAGTGAGAAACTTGAAATGGTTGAGCCTTGGTTCGAACATGTGGAGAAGACGTTCTGCACCATGCAGAAGTTGGAAAACTTTCTGGTTGATCAAAATAGATTGTGACGGTAGTGTGGTTCTTCCAAGGACTAGCAAGGTCGTGGTGGAGGTATGAGAAGGAACAAACTCGAAAGATGAAAGAGAAAATTGGTATATTCAAGCGGAATATAAGACCAGGAAATCTACGAGGCTTTACTTTGTGTCAAGGATTTCAAAAATGTCACTTACAAACCCCTCAGTTCTCTTGTGGCATCTGCGAGATGTACTACATACTTGGAATTCTACGATGCTTTACTTCGCATCAAGGATTCGGAAAATGTCATGAGTGACAATATTGGTGATGAAGATGGTAACATTAAGCGAAGAACACCAAGGGTAGCCTTCCTTTGGTTCCTGGCATAGTCAATTGTTCAAATGAAGCAGTTACAATCCTGGATCTTCTAGTGGAGGTTCGAGTTCCAACACACCCTGTTTTGGGGCTAAATCCATCGGTAATTATAGTTTTCATCCTTAAGGAAGTTCCAACAACACCAATACTTAGAATTTCTTCCGATGCAATACTTATCACTACGACAAAGGAGTACAATTTGTTACACATGCGGTCTAACTAGTGGCCCCTTAAGCAACAAATTTATCTCAAAGAACAGTCCTTTATCAGCCAAACTTACTCATGGAAATTGACCGAAATCGACACTAGCATATTGATGTACCAACCACTATCAAGGCAATGCTACCCAGTGTTCGGGAGTTGTCAACTAGTATCCAGGCTATTCAGTACTAGGATGGCGGTGCACAATGGTATGAGTTGGACAATATTATAATGTCGGAGAAAAATCCAACAATAAGGAAGGTGGCAGGCAGACAAACCAAGGCAACCAGGGCCAAGGAAATTAGAATCAGGGTAATAGAAAAGCATATCGTGCAAGAGGAGAGCTGAACCATGGCCATGTTAACATATCACCCACTAGGATGCCAAAAACAATCCCGACTTATTATGAGTACGCTAAACATCGTCGCTCACTTTGCTAGTGTTTCGATTAATTCGAGTGTCACCTACTGTCATATCACTTTTGTTTGCTCAAATGACTTAACCACAAGGTACCCCTATTGGGTGCAACATGGGAATCACAATGCCATGAGGCGAAGTTTGTTACGTCTAGTGGGAAATAGAGGATGCTCCGTTCTCATTGCCAATCAAATGATGTCAGTTAATCTCATTATGTTGGATATTGTGGGCTTTAATGTGATCTTAGCGAGGATTGGTTACATCAAAATCATGCCTTAGTGGATTTCCGATCAGGCATGCCTATGGTCACTTTCATAAGAAAACATAGGAAATTGAAGGAAACATTCATCCTCAAGATCAAGCCCCAACGGCTCCTTGAAGATCCACTCAAATCCACCTTCAAAGATCAAGCCCACGGCCATTTGAAGAAACTTCCAACTGTTCATCCAAGATCAAGCCTCGACGGCCCTTCGACCAACGAAACACCCATAAATCAACACCTTACGGAGATCGAATCAGAGGATCAAATTCGAGAGAGATTGTAACCCAAAATCATCAAAATACAAATATTTGTTTGTGCACGTCGTTCTTGTCTCTTTCGTTTCAGGAATTTTCCGTGTTCACAAATTGGCACGCCCGGTGGGATATCTCTACATCTCATCTCTTCCTCCGTTCAAGGAATATAAGCACACTTCCAAAATCAATGACGTCAAGGAAGGCTCAAGCTGTTCCCATAACCGGCGCAAAGAACAAAGGCGCCATCGTCGCAAGTGGTGTCACGTTGGGTATCACGACTCGAAGCAAAGCAAAAGCTACTTCTGCCACCTCTTTCACCTCTGCATCAACTCTGCCAGGGGAACGAGAGTACCCCAGGCGCGAGCCTGTGATCACCTTAGCCTCACTAAGGGCACCAAGGGGGGAAAGACCAAGGGAATACTCCGAATCCATGCTCTCCGATGACGATTCAAGCGGCAGTTCAGCCATGCAAGTCATGACCGTTGGAGCAACTTCAGTCGAGGAACAGCTTGCTCAAATGAATGAAGCAATCGCAAGACTAACTCGAACTGTGGAAGAAAAAGACTCGCAAATCGCGGCATTAGTCAACCGACTGGAGGCGCAGGACAGCGAGAAACCCGACCCAGAGGATGATCCACTAAAGGGAGGAGCTGGCGGAGACGAAGAACCCCCGGTGAAGAAAATCAATGGGAAGCCGAAACCAGACCAAGCAGCGGCACTCATGGGATCTCTTTCTATCCAGCAGCTGCAAGAGATGATCACCAAACACCATCAAGGCACAGTACGAAGGGAGCTCATATACCTCCGGGTTGTACTCAAAGCCGTATTCAAAGAAGATCGACGCCTTAAGGATGCCGAGGGGTTATCAACCACCAAAGTTCATGCAATTTGATGGAAAGGGAAACCCGAAACAGCACGTTGCCCACTTCGTTGAAACTTGCAACAACGCAGGAACCGAAGGGGACTACCTCGCCAAGCAGTTTGTGCGCTCGCTGAAAGGAAACGCCTTTGAGTGGTACACGGATCTGGAACCTGAGTTCATCAACAATTGGGAGCAATTGGAGCGGGAATTCCTCAATCGCTTCTACAGCACCCGCCGCACTGTGAGCATGCTAGAGCTAACAAGCACAAAGCAGTGGAAGGACAAGCCAGTCATGGACTACATCAACCGATGGCGTAATCTAAGCCTCGACTGTAAGGACAGACTCTTCGAGATTTCTTCAATCGAGATGTGCATCCAGGGCATGCAAGGGGTTTTATAATACATCCTTCAAGGTATCAAACCACGAACTTTTGAAGAATTAGCCACCCGTGCCCACGACATGGAGTTGAGCATCGCTCACCATGGAAAGAAGGAGCCAATCACCGATTTCAAAAGGGATAAGGTGTTCACTTCAAGAGCAGACAATCATGGGAAAAAGCCCGCCAAGGAAGCTTTTACCACCAATACCACCCCTATCAAGACCTCGTCCGCGCTCGTCAAAATCTCTTTCAATAAAGCAAGGGAGATAAAAAAAGGTTAGCCTTCCCACACCCAAGATAGGTACAAAAACACCTTGAGGGAATTGGAGCAGAAGGTATACCCTTTTCCGGACTCCGACATGGACGCAATGCTGGACGACTTACTGGAGAAGAAGGTGATTGAGTTACCCGAATGCA